ATTGATTTGTTTTCCCGTGCCCGCGAGAGATTGCTTATTACGAATGCAGCGACTCGATTGAGATTGCAAGATATTCGCGAAATTTCCCAGAAGCGATATCGGGGCGAGAGAGAATTCATTCTCTTTTCACGTGCCATGGTTTGTAAATTCGAGGTCGACCTCCCACGACTCCGAATTCTCCCAATTTCCCGCGGCTCCTGTATCATCGGCGATTCCGAACAGAGCAATAGCGCGGAACGTGCGGCCGACGTACATATTTACCTTCGGTATCGTCGCGTGTCTCGCCTTATCCATATTTAGATTACAATGCTTTACATTAGAGCAGGTACCGGTGAAGCGGCAATACTCGGGGAGGGGGGGGGGGGGGGCAAAAGTCACTCTCGCNTCGGAAAATCGGTATGCGTCGCCGCTTGCCTTAGAACTCGTGATTCCGCAATGAGACTGTAACAGTGCGCAGAAGAGATCCCTTGGCCGGGACTCATCGTCGTCGTCGTCGTCGTTGCTCTCTCGTTCCTTCGAGGCGTATGTATCCAAGCTCGTAAAAAGGATTCGCCTTTCAGCCGAATCCTCCGCCGGCACTTCCGCCACCTTCCGTATCCTTTCGGCTGTGCATCTCCTGAGAAAGGGTGAGGCTCGCGAAGGATCGTCGGAGGGGCTCATGGTTTACACATCGTGACGGCGCTCTCTCGTCAAAACCCGTAAAAGCTCTCGGGGACGATCGACTTTGAGAGGTAGCAAGCGGTCAAGGGGATCCTCCTCCTCGGTTGCCGATTCACGATCTCGTGAAAAGCTATCCGCCGCAGTCTCGGTGCTCGTCTTATTTTCCTCGCTCCGCTCCGCTGCACTCCTCGCCGATATAGCCTCGAGGGGCCGCAAAGCGGCGTCGATTTTGTTCCAAATAATAAATTCAGCCGGCCCCGGCCGAAATACCCGCCGCATCGCGACCGTCGGGTCGGTCGAGTGCACCCTCCTGAAAAGTTCTAACGGCTGCTTTATTTCCGCCGGACGTTCTTAAAGTTTCGAGGACGCACTTCCCCTCGCGTGCCATGGCCGCGCTCGACGAGGCGAAACTTCGCCGCTCTCGGCAAATAAAAGCCATTTTGATATTTAATCCGGGGTTTTTCTAGCAGGGAAAGTATATACTGTCGGCGGGGAGGTTCATTCTCTCGGAAACACCGGTCGAACACGGGCATCCGTTCGTTAAAGATCGTTTTCACGCGCACTTCGATCGTGCATTCCCGTTAATTAGCAGGAGTGCAGCAGAGGGGAGACCGCTTCGGCATTTTTGCACGCGGATTATCCGGCCGTCAAGCTGCCGTTTTACTTGCGCCGGTAGATAAAGAGAATCGGCCGCAAACTAGCACCCGATGTTCGCGAACTCTCGGTGTATTTCTAAACCAACTTCGTCAATACATCCCGTTTTATCCTTTCTGGGAAAGAACTTTTAATGAGTTCGCGTACACTGTTTAAAGATTTAAAGTTTTGCGATCTTCAAAGAGATCGTGCCATGCTTCTCTAAAGTATTACAGGCAGAGCGGGTGCATTATTACGACGTACAGAACGTCTGCGATATTACATCGTAAAAATTGCCTCTGTATATTAGTTCCTCGCTGGCTGTTACCTATCAAAAACTCAAAGAAAAATGCGTACTGTGTGAGAGACCGGCGAAAGATAAGGAAGCCCTCGAATTTAATAAAATTTAATAAAATCCCGCGAGAATCTTTTTAACGCTATAAAGCGAAATAATTTCGAACGAACTTCATTTCGGCGTCTCTGTGCGCGCGCGTGGAGATGAGGGATTGAGACTGAATTTAAATCCGCGTTACGATCGAACTACTCTCGGTGTATCCCGGCGACAGTAAAAAAGTCATTTCGGAGCACACGATACAACCGGTAAAATTATGCCCCCCTCCCCTTCTACCCCCTCGCCGCGACTTTACGTTCCGGGCGTTCAAGTCTCTTCATCATAAAACTGCGAAGATAATGGCGATGTGAACTGTAAATAATTGCTAAACGTGAGGAGCATCAGCGAACGGCGGCGTCGAAGACCGAAGTGATCTTCTAGTTAATATGTCAGTATATGTATTTCCTGAGCGCACTGTGGTAGATAGTTGCGGCAAAGTTGATCACACACGAAATTGGCCAATGTGTCGGCGTTGTATCGCGTCGACTGTATGCAAGGTACATAGGTATTCACCGTAAAGCAGATACACATAGGTAATGACGGGAGACGTTGAGCCGTCGCGGACGACGCGGCGCATACGCTCGCCCTATTAGCATACAATTATCTTTATGCTTCTTTTATGATTCATATTTAGTGGCGGTTTCCCCGCCGTCGAAAGCCCCAGGCTCGCGTCGAAACCGGCACTCTCGAAGTTAGCAACTTTTACGATCGCACTTGTTTCGGAAAACTTAACGTACCCCGTGCTTGCCTGTTATCGGGCCGCCACGATTCGCTCGCACTCTTGTTAAACGTGCCCCGGAAAGTACTTCCGAGAACATGCACTACACGGAAATTTATCGTCATACGTGCGAACAATCGACAGATACGAGACCTGTCAATTATGTTTGCTTGTCGCGCGCCACGAAACTAACGCGACCCTCCCCCCCCCCTCCTTCCCCCTACACACACGGCCCCCCGCAGTTCCAACGTCGGACGATAATGTCAGGTATTAATGTATCGATATAACTTTTTATAATACTGTGTAAAGAAAAAAAGTTATAAAATGCGATGTAAAATACGAGAGTAATTTTCAATAATAATGTAAAATATTTTTTTGTGTTTTTCATACGAAAGCCGATACATTTGTTTTTTTCTTTTCAGTTCACTTCCTTCTCTAATTATTTAATTGCACGTTCAATGTAAGAGAGAATAAAGGGGAAAAAAAGGCGGAATTCAACGCTAAAACGGCACGAGTGGTATCCGGCCGTATCCCGACGATCTGCACGGATCTTCGGGGCACGCTTACGTGATTCACATTAGGACAAACGACGTCGCGTGTCGTTTCTCTTTTGGAACGGCGAGCGAAACAATAAAGTACAATAACGAAGAGATACGTACGTGCGTATTCGGATGGTACGCCGTACCGTTCCGTACAGTCTATGGGCCACGATCGAGCTTGCAATGACCCGCCATTGCTGGCGGCTACGGCTACCCATTAATTTAATTAATGCGCATCCATTCGCACCGGCACGCGAGCGACCCATTTCCACCCTTTATTTTGCGCCATTTGGGTTTTACTTTGACGAAACGGCGGATCGGGTTTGCAAAACACACACACGCGCGTACCCTCCATGCCTATATGTTCCTATAAAACTGCATATTTTTCGTCACAGCTTCCCGTCGGGATGAGCAATAAAAAAG